GTATGTCTCTGACTCGAAGACGAGCACGTCCTGATAGAGGGACTTTTCGACGTGCAGGATCTTCCTGACCTTCAAGGTCATCGCCTGGCCAGGCCATTGAGAAGAAATTTCACGGAACCAGCCATCTGGACGTAGATTATTAAACCACATATTCTGAGTTGTCACACAAAACATACCTTTGATTGAGGGGTGAGTGAGGACAACCATGATGAAGGTGCAGACTAAGAGTGACTCGGGAGCGTCTTCAGCTAATAAATTTCAAAAGATAAGATCAGATCTAAATCTAGATAATTTGTCGATCACTCATGATCGCACATCTTGCTTAGCTAACCAACTTTGTTTGGAGAATGAAGTCGCTGTTTCGCACTACTGTTTTGTATTGACACATATGAATGCTAAGTCTTAGCTCACCCACCCTTCATGCACGCCCCATCACTTGGAAAGCTTAGGCTCAAATCCTCGAGTTACAAAATTCTATTGATACAATCACAGACATACGACACCCTCGATTGGTGCGACTACAGACTTATGCCAAATCCTGTGATAAGACATACCGATACTTGACCTTGTTTTTTCCCACACCTTCAATCGCTTTCGGAAGATCCTTCATGGGTAACTCTTCAATCCATGGTTTAATACCCTTGTCCGCCGCAAGCTCCAACATCTCCAGCACCTCCGACTTTGAGCCGATATGGTTGGATCCAATGTATGCACCATTGGGTACGAGATCAAAGGCATGCAAGCTAGGGAGAGGCTGGTCGAGGTCGGGGATAGCGACGTTGACAAAGCGACCATGCACATAGAGCATGCTGAGGAAATCCTTAAGAGGCAGCTGCTGTGTGGCATCCATGGTCGAGATTATGATATCCAGGGAAGTTGACAGAGGCTTTGCAAAGTCCTATAATCGCGATATTTGATTAGTTCGCTGTACCAGGAATGGATTGGGTGGGTACGTGCCTTTTCGTTGGTGTCAATGACATGATCCGCACCCAACTTCTTCGCATCTTCCATTTTGTGCTTCGAATGGGTGAACGCATACACTTCAGCGCCCATAGCTTTGGCGAAAAGAACAGCGTAGTGACCTAGCCCGCCGATTCCTATGACACCGACCTTCTTCCCTGGTCCGGCGCCGTTTAGCTTTAAGGGCGAGAAGACTGTGAGGCCTGCGCAAAACATAGAGGCCGCGTGTCGAGACTCTATGGCATCTGGAATGGGGAAGACGAACTGCTGGTGTGCGCGAATCGCTGTAGAGAACCCGCCTTGGGTAACGGTTCCGTCGGGATATTCTGCGTTCTACAAAAGGTTTTAGTTCGTAAATGCTGACAAAGGTACGGCAAGATTCACGTACATAGGTATCAATCTGCTTCGGGCAGTAATTCTCATATCCATCTTTGCATTGCCTACACTGCAGGCAAGCTCCGATCTGGGCACCAACACCAACACGATCACCAGCTTTGAATCCCTTCACGTTATTACCAACGCGAAGGACTTTGCCCACTATCTCGTGCCCTATCACCAGGGGAAGCTTGCTTTCTCCCCAGCCTTGATGAGCTGTGTGCACATCTGAGCCACAGACGCCACAGTGCGTTATGGCGATCTCCAAGTCGTCGGCTTCGAATTTCTTAGGCTTGATCTCAATAACTTTCATGTCAAGATAGTTCTTGGGGTCTGAACAGAGCTATTTGCGTAAGAGATAGACATATACATTAACTATGACACTCACCGACGATGGCATAGCCCTTAAACTCGACCTGAGGCTGGGACATGATGAGCAGAGTTTCAACGGGGAAAGGGAAAAGAGGTGGTTGGTGGACACATACCGATGTCCTTTATATAGACCGTCTGAGAGAGGAGCATGGGTTGGTGTCTTGAAGCGTCGGGTGACGTCGTCGCGCCCGACGTTCCCCTCCATGGAGCCTGTCTGGGATCAGATCGGCTGCCCATCATTGACACTTTCGTGTGTCCCACGGCCAACATCTCCCGCATACGAGGCTACTAGTAATCCATCGAGGAGCTGTGTATAGATGTCCGGGGTCCAGGGGGGTGAGTAGTATTTATCTGCACGTCCCCCGTCTACCCCATCGCAACATCAACTTGAGAGTTGGAATATGATGCCTGCAGGTGATATAACAGAGAAACGCGGTTTAACTATGCAATAACACAGTGGCTACTCAAAGGGTCGATTCTCTATCCAGTGCTCCACTATTTTCTTCACCAGCACAGGCCGATCTCTTTCAACCTGGTGCCAAGATGAGTTAATCGAAATAAAATAGAATGATGCGAGGGAAACACTGACAAAATGGCCAGCACCATCTACGAGAATATAAGTCATGTTACCAGCTCCCTCACCAACCACGCGCACCGTCGCATCTTCTGAGTTCCATGGGACATCGGGGGCGTTGGTAAAGGCTTCTTGGAATGGAGATGGCAGGAGCTTTAGCTAGGAGTTCCGAAGAAGTCAGAGGGACATGTCTTTGAACGAGATCCGGGAGTCATACCATAGAAATGACGCCTGGCCATGCGCAGTTTGCATCAAGTTTTCCAATATAGTCTTCGAGAAACAATGTTCATACAAGAATATTAAAACGAAATAAATCGAGGCAACGTACGTAGGACTCTGATCCCCACTTTCAGCAACGGCCCGTATAATAGATATGTGGGTCGGATCCTGACCACAACAAACTTTAGAGTACAGTGCTGGCAGTTTGGCCATGTCTCCACTCACGGATCACCTTCCAACACAAACTGCTCGTGGACAGGCCTGTTGACATTAGTGAAGTTGATATGTTCAGGGACGCCCAGCTTGTCTTTCGTCTCTCGGCGGTTCAAAAATTCTGAGATCCAGGGTATCTGAGGAAAACAGTCCTCCAAGGTTCCATTGCACTGATCGTGAACGTATCAACATTGTGTATTTGATACCATTAAGCAAGAGTGCTCGAACCTTTAAGTTGACATTTTCGTACGAACGACCGTCAAGATGCTGCAGTTTGGTGTTGTCACATATATCCAACGCCTTCACGCGGTTTCCAACAGTGGAATCTTGGTATGCCAACTGAATGGCTTCGAGACAGAAAGGAAGGCGGGAGAATAGCTCCCCGCATACGGTGCTATTGAATAAGTCTGTGTAATAGCATCGCTGCTGCAATGCCCAGCCAAAGTGCGATAAAGCATCCTGATATAGTACTCTCAATCCAATCCAGAATCATGACGATCGAGTAAGGAACTTTGCTTACGGAGAGCGGATTGCTGACCATGATAGATTCCAGATTGATATGCTTTACCGAAAGTGGGGTCTTTCCGGAAGCCACTTTCGCGTTCCCTTCTTGGATCACCGTGGCAATATGCGGAAGATACGTCTGGCACTGGTTCAGTACTGATATCATAAGTCGGCTCCATTGCATACGTACGCCGCCATATGACCCAGAGGCCAGAACCAGGGGGTTTCTGATCATCATAAGATAAAGAACACCGTCTGCAGCTAGTTGACTCACTTGGACAATAGAGGAAAGAGGGTGTAGAACTTCTGCAAGAAATCGTATACGTCAACTGCAGCAGAACGGGAGTTGTTGACTAAAGTCCCATAAGAAAACCCAGCTCCGACAGGCTGAGGAAATTCGGCTAGTGAGTTATATGAGACAAGATGGCCAGGGGTAAATGACTTGCATGGTCGAGAGCAAGAAGGTTATATCGTTCTGTCCATGCGTTCGGATTGGACGTGGTACCGTTCTCAGTGATTACACAATGTGATTCTGAGAGTCAGAGTTACCCGTTCAGCGACCGCCATAGTAACATAGGGAAACGTCATACGTCCAACCAAGGGATTGAGAAGGCCACTGCTCCCGGGCCCTCCGCCGATAGTTAAACTACGTAAGAGTTGGGATGGTCAGAAGATATGATAGCTCCGAGAGTAAGTATACGCACATTACAGGCGCATTATCTGGATCGTTCTGGGCTTCAAATAACCTATACTGTATTGCTCAATATAAATCAAAGGAGTGTTACGGTCCGACTCACCAGAAGAAAGATCGTTTCGGAGCCTCCTCTGTATCCCCATCCAGCCCAATATATCCTGAGCGGGACACTGCCCTACCTTCTTCGCCAGTGCATACATCGTGATGTAGGTTGATGCTTGCGTAGAACGACTTGCTGTAGTAGCGTGGCGTGCCTTGCAAAATCCCGCTATCCCACACACAAGAGGTCACGAAATAGAGAGCAAACAGACTGATGAGGAGTATTGATGCACGATATAGCTTCTCTTCAAATTTCATGACCTGGGGCCCCACAGGCCAAGTGGAACTAGTCGCAACCTCTGGGTCGTCGAGCAAAAGGGCTTTCTCTTTTGGTCCAGCTTGAGACATTCCGCCTGCCCTGGGTTTCATATGCTATTCGGGTCCAGGCCAATGGAAAACAGCGCAGAAGAACTATCCGTCGGATCCAATGAAATAGTCAAAGCGGAGAGACTTGTCCGCAAGATGGGACAGAAAGCACCGAAAAAGGCGCAGTAGGCGCTAGTATACTCTCGATGTTTCGAGATGAGCCTGCAGATGAAACTCATCGGATATAACTTACATCAAGACATGAAAGCTTGGATGGCTTGAATCTAGAGGCAGCCTTGTCTTGTCGCTGCAAATTCGAGTGCTCTATCGGACCCGAAGTTGGCTGAGAAAGTATCCGATGTGCACTGAGGGACCTGGATAAGGCGGCCTGGATATCGGACTTCGTTCTGAGCTTGTGACCGCGACGAGGCCGATATGCATGGATGGCTCAAGACAAGATGTGGCACTGGGATGGCCGCCCGGTAGCGAGTCGCATGAATTATACTTGAATAATATCACAAGCGTCGAGCCGAATAACGGGCGCGAATTGATCCCGCGGTCAACAAAATGATGTCCCCTCTTATAAAATCAAAACGAAATCCGTAACAGAAGAATGATGGCTTCGAGAATGCCTCAGCCTTCGACTTGGGATGGCTTTTCCGACGTCCCTCAGACTTGTAAAAAGGGCTCAGCCGGGAATTGAACCCGGGGCCTCCTGCACTCTTAAATCAATCAAATCGCTGACGGGGCAACCCGAAGCAGGAATCATACTACTAGACCACTGAGCCGTGTTTTGTGGAGCTGCTCGAAGTCCCACACGACTCGTAGTTATGAGTTCGGTGGGTAACGTCAAAGTACCGCGAAACAAACTTTGGGCAAGAACTATCAAACAACTCCATGGTCAAGAATAGCGGGAGTGTAAATCAATTCGTCAGACTAGGTATAATACAGCATGGTAAAACATCATACAAGCACATGAGGGTAACTCTCTTTACGATAGTACACACAGTCATCTCCACACCTCGGTCGCAAGGTATTTCCATCGCATTCAAACCCCCAAAACACGATCAATCATTGTGGTATAACACAAGCTCAGACCTTCTCGGCGTAATCTGAGCGAACGGACTGTGCCTCTGGAATATGGAAGTCGTGGTCGAGAGCACGCTCTTCCTTCCGGATGTCAGCCAGGCGCTGTTCGGCGTTGACTGATCCGAAGATGATATCCATCTCTTCCAGACTACGTCCCATGGTCTCGGGGATCAAGCTAAGACAAGATACTGTCAGTAACTGGCAGACATCTGTCAGGTGCATGACGTACAGAGAGAAGATAGCCATGCCACCAATGTTAATCGTGGCAAACATCAAGAAGATCTTATATCCAAGAGCAGTGACCATATCTGGGGTGACTTTCGAAACGACGAAGTTGAAGAGCCATTGGGATGCGCTCGCGGTCGCAAGACCGTAATGCCGAGTGCGGGTCGGGAAGATATCAGATACATACACCCATCTGCAAGTCATATTCAATCTGACTAGTTCACTAGCGCGGATTCGTGCGATAAACTCACGGTAGAGGGCCCCATCCCATGGAGTAGAAGCACACGTAAATATAAAGCATGGCAGCCATGGCTTTTGATGCAGGTGGTGGGTCTCCATTGGGGGTTGATGGTGGTGGGAAGGACTTGAGAAGAGCACCGATTATGAAGAATAGAGTACCCATGCCGCATGCAGAGATGAAGAGCGACAGCTTACGTCCAAGAGATTCGACGAGGAAGAATACGAAAATCGAAGTAGCAACCACCTTCACGATCCCGTAGATACCGGAAGCAAGAAGGGACTGGGATACTCCATTGTATCCGATCTACATGACAGACCGTCAGGATCGTCCGTTAATAGCTCGAAAGAGATCGACATACCGACTGGAAAATCTGTGGTGCGTAATAATTTACGGAGTTCTGACCACACCATTGTTGGAAGAGGAAGATCACAATGGCAATGACGAATCGGATCCAGTTTCCTTTGCCGAGGAATGCTTCACGGAAACCAAGGCCAGCGCGAGCAGCACGCTCTTCTTGTATAGCCGCATATATTTCGGCGTATTCATAACGAACACGCTCGTCATCAGCAGGCAGCTTGCGGAGGTAAGACAAATTAACGATCGCTTCGTCGTCGCGGCCCTTGGAGGCGAGCCAACGAGGGGACTCCTTGACTGTCAAGAGACCGAACGCCATGATTCCAGCGGGAACGAGTTGGAAACCAAGTGGTATACGCCATACGGCAAAGCCAGTCTTGATGTGTAAGCTGATGCCCACTAGGAACCATTTCAGCTATGGGTCGTCACGGAATCTTTGTCAGCGGCGGGGCACTCACGGTTGATCCAATACGACAACATAACACCAATCGCGACCATAATCTGGAAAAGACCAGTGATACGCCCACGGACTTCTTTCGGAGAGCACTCTGACACAAATGCCGGAGCTACAGCTGAGATAGCACCGACGCCGACACCGGCGATGACACGCCCCGCGTAGATGTATCCCAACCCACGGCTACCACCAGCCACGGTTTGAAGAGCCTGTGGGGGGGAGTAAGCTAGCGCTTACAGTGAAAAAAAACGAGTCACTTACAGCGCCGACAGCAAAGACGATGGAGAAGATGAGGAGAGTAAATCTCCGACCTATCCAGCCCGAAATCGGAGCGCTGCCAATGGCACCGAAAAATGCACCAGCCTGGAGCACTGAAACGACATTTGAGGAAATATCGTTTTTCTTTGCTGTATCATTGGCGAACCCGAAGTGCTCTTGGAAATATGGCTGCGAGACGACCCCTCCACCAATACCGCTAAGATTCAAGATTACGGTTCAGGCCAAAAAATCTCAAGTTTAAAATATGCAACAGACTCACGTATCGTAACCGAACAGCACAATACCCCAGTAAACAATAAACGCCAGCCCTTTAGCGGCGAGTCAGTGCGATGGTGGCTGGAACACGGTCAAAGGGTACTCACAGTAGACTCTGATATTCTGGAAGCGGCTCAATGGTGCCATGTTGAAGGATGGGAAGAAGACGACCAACAGAGGAGATGGAGAGAGTGAGAAACAACTCTGAAGGATCGAATCATCGCCGGTGCCTTTTGTACCTCTCGCATATGGCCCATTTCCCCACGGGCCGCGAACCCAAAGTTCATTAGATTTTGATGATCGAGATCGTGGGGAACAAGCGGGGAAATTGTCACGCTGCTAAGCGCTAAGTCACCTCGTGTGTACTCCGGCCCGGCTACGCTCCGGTGGTTTTGTGTTCCTGAAATCATGTCCATCTTTGCGACGCTGGTTTCCACTTCACGGCAGAGACATGAGAGCTATTATCAGACAGCTGCTATGCTGGGCTTGTATACATGGAAATTGTAGGACAAAATGTCGCAGCTTGGTAACGGTCTGTGGGTGCGATGTGTTATCTACTATCGTCTTCAACAGGACCGACCGAAGACTCTGCTACTTCCTTGGTGATACTCAAGCTTCTGAACTTCGGTCTATTACGCACCTGTAAATCCCGCACTTGAAACCTCGAACAAAATATCCGAGTAAACCCCAGAATATAAAATGTCGTCGTCGCTGGTAGAAGTGTTCCCCATCGAGATTTTGACAATCAGAGTTACAGTTTCTGCCAAACAAACAGTGTCAGTTGATAACTACACCGTTAGAGCTACAAGCTTCGCCTTTATTGATAGCACCATTGCCTTAGGGTCCGCAGTTACAGCCGAAGATCCCTCTGTTGCCGATCTGGTACACCCGCGAGCCCCTGAAGGTGGAACGTAGTGTAGGCTACGCCCAGGATGGCCAATAACAACCTCGTCGCGTCCCGGCCGGCCCTGGAAGAAGGAAAACAATGCCCAAGCCTTCGAGAATATTACAAACGGACTCAGACAGTCCTGGACAACCACACTTCACCTATAGGCCATTTCGCCTTACAAATGGTGGGGCGCAACGGGGCGCAACAAGGCTGGGAGCCGGTGCGGAAAATATGATCAGCCACGCGAAAGGTCCTTGTCCTATGATCAATTCGAGAAATTATTCCTCGCTTCTTTGACAGTAGTTGAACACGGTTGAACCCTGGTAAATTGAGCTGTTGCTGACGACGCACATTTAGCGGAGAATAACCTAGGCCAGAAGTAATGAGGAAAGCACCATAATCCTTCTGCTAAAATAGCAATCTCGCTTGGGAACGATAACTTTGTAGCCGTTCTACTCGCCTACAGAAAGGCATTTTTACTGGAAGCGAGTGGATGCTGTTGCCTGTGGTTGTGCAGGCATCTCGAGATGGAATCCGGGGCGCTGACGGGCCGCGTTAGCTCATTCAAGCTGAACGAAATGCTACTGTCGAAGCGCGATGGAGTGAAACAAACTTAGGGCTGATCTGACCGCTCACCATAGAATGGGCAACAGCAGTTAACCGCTCCATCGCGATCCAAAAGGAGATTGGGGTACAGGCTGTCACATGGACAGCCGGATATGGTTTGACAGGACCCAGGTACGTGATGAATTTTGCATCGAACATATCTGCGCAGGCGAGGGTGAAGCGATGCGAAAGCGAGCCCTACTTGATATATCAGCCAAGCTATACGCATTGGAATTTTTGGATACTCACTGTTCATCCGCCATACTAGAGAGGGTGGTACTGACCTGAAACAACACTTTACGCACACGACTGTCCGGGGTGCGCTGAAGTCCGCCCGTGCTCTGGAGTACTTTCTACCACATATCACCACAGCCTGAGGTCACTCACGATAGACATACTCTTGGCCTCCTATCTCCGTCGCAAACGCCCCAAAGCCAGGAGGATGCCGTATGCGCAAAGGCAAGGTTACACCGGCGATGCAAAGTGACGTGTGTATCCTGTAGGTTGGAAATGAATTAGGTGCGCCATTTTAGTTTCGCTTCAACGTGGATACATACTTAGTACGCGGCGACAGTGAGAGGCTGGGCATGAAAATAGGCTATTCGTGACCCCAATAACGCCGCTCACTGGTAGCACATAATGATGTGAGCCTATGAACAGCCTGTGAGTTCCGTTAATGTCTCGGAATCGCTCAGCCTGAAGGTAAGGTCGCGATTATTCTCACGCTAATATGTCCAATGTCGGAGGACACAATCGAATCCACGTAAAGTCAGGTTTGGAATGCTGACGAGGAGTTTGCCAACACTTGCCTTGTAGTTGTTGAGTTTACCTGAGCTAGGACTAACTCCACGGATGTTGGCTCACAGTTTGATTAAAAGAAGAATGAGTACTCTAACAGGCTGGAGACTCTTGATGCGGAGTAGTCCTCGCTAACTTTCAATGAATGCTGGAGACTAGGAATTCTATAGAGGCTTGGCTTGCGTTGCTTTACGAATATCTTCAACATTTTACATAGTTATTTCCTCGCGACATGATAACCCCCAAATATTAAATGATTTGACATTTAGACAACCCCTTAATCTCTTAGCATTAATCCCTTGTTCGAGTCGGCTTCCATCTAGTTCTACAACAAACACAACGTCGACGCAATCGTCGTCGACACCCAGACCAATTTGCACGTTGTATGAGTGTAATTACGACGAAGTCCATACCAGGTATGACCAACGACCAACGAGCCGTTCGAAGACCTCTCGACTGAATCTTCTCCGTAGATCCAACGGAGAACTGGGACGATGACTTTGAGTTCCAATCTAGTCACGGTAGCAACACCCATACTCGTCGTTCTACCCTGACTGAAGACTGGACTGAGCCATCTTCTCCGCTATTCAAAGACAAG